CTGCAAATCTGATTGGCTAAATGCTTCTGTACATTTGGTTGTGTCGATTCATTCTCCATGTCGCTCCAGTTTAGAATAAACACAACAATATCGGTGCTGTTGTACACGCTGCCATGCTCATGCGTTGGTTGGTGATCTGTGAGCCATGAAGAAGTGCATTAACAGTAGTCGACAGACTCGAGGGTGCCATTGACCATAACGTTTGCTACAAGAATCCAATAAGAAAAAGTTGAGAGTGAAAATGTAGCGCTCCGATTATGCTAAAAAGTTATAAAAGAAATAGATCTTTAAACTTTATAGATGATCAAATATGATGCGCCAAATAAAAAAACCTGTGAATTTGCACTCTATTACCAAATAAACCCTGACATATTATACATAGGCTGAACAAGACAGGCAGAATTCAATAAATTTTCAAGATTACACATGCATACTTACAACCTGTGAATTTGCACTCTATTACCAAATAAACCCTGACATATTATACATAGGCTGAACAAGACAGGCAGAATTCAATAAATTTTCAACATTACACATGCATACTTACACTGGCTTTATGTCCGCACCAGTTTACACACCAACCATGCCTACCGAACCCAACCAACCAAGCGACATCGACCGCGCCATCTCGTTCGTCAAGCGCCCCTGCTCCCGATACGTCTCCGAAAACGAGATCCTCGACATGATTATGGTCAACGCAATGCTTCGCCATGAAGGTACTGCTGCAGCCAGCCGCAAAGCCGCCCGTCTTCTGCGCCGCAAGGAGCAGTTAGTCCAATAAGTTTGGACGGAATTTGTCGACAACGGCACCGTCACGACCAAGCCCCAGCGTTGAGGGATATGTCTCACCAGACAAGGCTTCCAGTTACGCTCGCCCTGGCGCAGATCATTTGTCCGTCAACGCCGGTAAGCCCGACAACGTACCGTCGCCAAGGATGTTGCCCATTTTTTGCGGTCCCGAAACCGCTTGGTTTTTAATCCAACGTCGGAATCCTGCGACCCAAAGGGCTCTCGCAAAACTGGGTTACAAAAGGAAAAAGAAAGGAAAAGTCTTGGCCTCCAGATGTCCGAGGCAAATTTACAGCATCGTGATTTGTTTGTTTCTGGTATGTGTGATGTTTTGTCGGGCAATGTCAATCAACGGCCTATTATGTATTTGGATGAGAGTTATATTCACCACCATTATAGTCGGCATGACAGGCCGAGACAGTGGAGGACTACCAAAATTGCCTCAGAGTGCGTTCTCAGACATGTTTTTATTCAAGTCTGAGAGCCACCTCAGACTGAAATGTAAGCATGAATTTATTTTGCAAGCTCACCAAAAATATACTTAGATTTTACATTCAAGAGAGCCGTTTCGTTGGTTTATATTTGCTCATCCCATATTTGTCATGCGTGTGGTTACCAGCGTGCTACTGCTCTACTGCCCACCGGAGGCGACGAAACGACGCCGCATCATACGACTCTTGCTCTTGTGTCGTATCAGATC